AGTATAACACCGAGCATATCTCCTGAGGCGCACATAAATCAGATAACTGCTGCAGCATACGGGCGCCTGGCAAACCTACGGATAGCGTTCCGATACCTCAATAAGGAGTCGTTCAAGACACTGTATACCATTTACGTCAGGCCCAACTGGAGTATGCAGCACCAGTTTGGAATCCACACCTAGTCAAGCACGTCAAGAAATTAAGAGAAAGTGCAAAGGTTTGCAACAAGACTAGTCCCAGAGCTACGGGGATTGTCGTACGAAGAAAGGTTGAGGGAAATCGGCCTGACGACACTGGAGGCCAGGAGGGTCAGGGGAGACATGATAACGACATATAAAATACTGCGCGGAATAGACACGGTGGACAAAGACAGGATGTTCCAGAGATGGGACACATACACAAGAGGTCACAATTGGAAGTTGAAGACTCAGATGAATCAAAGGGATGTTAGGAAGTATTTCTTCAGTCATAGAGTAGTCAAGTCGTGGAATAGTCTAGAAAGTGAAGTAGTGGAGGCGGGAACCATACATAGTTTTAAGGCGAGGTATGATAAAGCTCATGGAGCAGGGAGAGAGAGGACCTAGTAGCAATCAGTGAAGAGGCGGGGCCAGGAGCTATGACTCGACCCCTGCAACCACAAATAGGTGAGTACAAATAGGTGAGTACACATGCACATATGTGGTAATGCTTTATTTACAGCTAGCAAAGTCAGGGTATTTCTCCAGAATGGTCTGTAATATACCACTGTGGATAAAATACTTAGCCATTTCTTGAACACTTCTGAGTGAGTTTCTAAATTCATTAATTTTATCGCACTCCAGTACATAATGACGCAGGGTGTGACAATAATCCATCTGGCAAAGTTTACATTTCGTTTGGTCTACATCTGGTGGTGGTGATTGAACCTGCCAAAGATACTTGTAACCCAGCCGGAGCCGGGTGGTAGTGACATCCAAGAGTCTGCTTATTTTGTTGGATGCACCATAGACATGTGGCTCCTCCTGCATGATAGAATGATGATAGATGGACTCACTGGTGTCAATCTCCCTGAGCCTTAAGTCCATAAAATTCAGCTGAAGTTCTTTTCGTATTATTGTTCTCAAACTACTACCTGACAAGCCAAGATTGTAATCTACTCCCTCTTTGAAAGCATACAGCTTAGCCAATTTATCAGTTCTATCATGCATCTGAAGACCAATGTGAGATGGAATCCACAGCATGTGCACTCTGACTCCACTGTCCACAATCCTACCATACCTGTGTCTGGCTTCTGACACAAGCCTGCCACAATTTATGCTTAATGAGTTGAGAGCATTTATGGATGACAGAGAATCAGTTACAATTAAACTGTCAATCTTTGATACATAGATGCATTTCAGTGCAAGGAGTATGGCAAAACAGTTCTGTCTGAAGGGTAGAGGCCCAATTATTGATGCGTGCTCCAATTTCTTTAAGAGAGCCATCACTCTGTACGACAACAGCAGCACTACCAGCTGCACCAGTGGATTGGTGAACAGAACCATCAACGTAAATAATTTGCGAGAGTGTGTGCTGTGTGACTAAGTTATCAATACAGCTTAAGGCCTCATGTTTGGCTTCAAGGCGAAGTTTTGGTTGTGATTTAAGAAGTAGTTTGGGGGGAAATGGAGGAATGGTAGTTTGGAATGGGGTAATATTCCATGGAGCGGAGAAGTGCCACTGTTGCCTTACTTGACATAGATCATGTATCTGATTCATGCGGAGGTCGGTTCCAGTCTTTTCGATCCATCTGGAGGAGTGTTCACCAGTGCTGAGGAAAGTTTGGAGGGCTTCTGTGCAGGGGTTTGAATGAGCTTGCCTGAGCATATTAATCCCAATTAGGATATTTCTTTCAGTAACACGATCTCTGATGCTTGGAATATCAAGTTCTTTTTGCATATTTAAAATTTTGGCAGTACGAGGGCATCCTAGGATGATCCTCATTGCTTCGTTCTGCAGTTTTTCCAGCCCTCCAAGCTTCCAGTCAGACACAAGAGCAAGTAGTGGCGCAGCATAATCAACCAATGATCTAATATAAGCAAGATACATCATTTTCACAATTTTAACATTAGCACCATACCTGGGGTGAAGCCCTGCCACAACTCTAAGTGCTCTTAGTCGTTCTTTGTATTGGCGACAAAGTCTTGTTACAACAGGTCCAAGTAGTGGAACCTCAAAGCCTAGATACCTGTATCTGCTTACATATTCTAGAAGAGACCCATCATGCAATTGGATCTGACGAAATGTGCCTCTCTGTCGAGGAGGACGCCTATTGAGTATCTTTGTTTTATCAGTAGAGATTATCAACCCCAGGTCCTGACACGAGGCTAGTACATGATTAAGAATGGTCCATGCATTAAAAACGTGAATAGTTGTTAATGATAAACTAATGGAAATGTTAGTGAGTTTATTTAGATACAATTTTTTGACATGATTACAGTTGTCTTACATAGTAACATATATGAAAACTCAGACTAATATTATTGTAATTCATTTAGAAGCGCTAAACCTGTAGAGGTTATATATCGCTTGGGAATTGGGGGGGGGGATAATCGTGCTTGATCCGAGGAAGACGAGAGTGGATTCAATTGAATCAAGAGCCCTTCGCTAACATCAAAGCACCTCCTCCTTGAAGGTTATAAATAATGTATATTTATTTTTGTTATTGTACGTACATTAGATGTAAGTAAATCTGCTCAAGGACCCCAGTGGAAATAAGCCACTTTGCCTTATTTTTGGGGTTATCCTAGATAATTTACACATATGTTACTAGGTATGATAATTGTACTTGTATGTACCTGTACCTAAATAAACTTATTTGCTTCTACTCTTCTAAAAAAAATTCTTCTTTTCCTACCTCTAAGTAGACCGTAAAGAGTAATTGCAAATAGTTAAGTCAGATGCTGCCAAAGTGAATGGTTCTGGTCAGTATATCCAAATCTTCCTCTGGAGATACATTTACTACTGTTTATCTTGCATTGTATCTTTGCATTATCCCCAAACAGGTTCATATAATGTTTAATTAATTCTGTCAAGTTGTTTAAAAGAGAGAGAGAGGGGGGGGGGAATGTGCGTACTCATCTGTTACGCTACAAGCGTAGTTTTATCAAGCTTCACTTCTCTGCTTGATTTACTCTCTCTTCATTTAGTGAGCCCTCTCATGCCTATTCTTAAAGGTGTGTATGCGTCCTGTCTGTACCACTTCATTGTCCAGGTCGTTCCATTTCCCGGATACTGAGTCTGAAGAAATATTTCCTAACTTCTCATGTTAACTGCCAGCTTTGCCCATATGTACTTGTTTCCTGCCTCTCGAATAGCCTGTCCCTGTCCACCTTCTCAATTCTTAGTATTTTGTATGTCGTTATCATGTCCATTGGTCATTCTGGCCTCTGGAGTCCTCTGGTGCGTGTACTCACCTATTTGTGATTGCAGGTGTGTGTGTGTGTATGTGTGTACTCACCTAATTGTGGTTGCAGGGGTTGATTCATGACTCCTGGTCCCTTTTCGCTAGTCGCTACTGTATTCACCTAGTTGTGGTTGCAGGGGTCGATTCAGAGCTCCTAGCCTCACCTCTTCACTGGTTGTTACTAGGACTGTGTGTGTGTGTGAGTGAAAAGAGTGAGTGATGATGGAGGGTCTCAGTAAACAATGATTTAAGTTGTTACCTCTTTGGCTGGGTCATGGACATCTTTGCTCATCATACGTGTCCCGAATGTTGGTAGTTGAGTAGATAGTGGTAGTGGATGAACTAATAGTAGAGATGGTGGTTGCGGAAATAGACGTAGTTATGATTGTGAACATTTTATGGTGAGTGTACTTTTTAAGCTGTTGTTTTTAAATTACATCATTAGATACTGCATCAGGTTTGGAGTTTCTTACACATTAACATTTTTGATCAAGATATAACTCCTGTGGAGCTGGAGTCTGTAGGTCTGAAGTCTGTATGTCTGGAGTCTGTGGGTCTGGAGTCTGTGGGTCTGAAGTCTGTGGGTCTGAAGTCTGTGGGTCTGAAGTCTGTGAGTCTGTTGTTTGTGGGTCTGGAGTCTGTGGGTCTGTTGTTTGTGGGTCTGGAATCTGTAAATCTGAAGTTTGTAGGCCTTAAGTCTGCAGCTCTAAAATCACTCACTGTTAAAGCAGATGGTGCAAAATACCCCCAGTGAGTACACTAAGAGATAACTAGGAAGCATCAAAAAGACCGAGACTTAACACCCTCCCTTTGTCTTTGAGGGGTATTACCATCAGGCCTCTGGCTGTCTTCATCAGGGAACCTGATAAGTTACCCAAGTCAGTTACTGATCAACCAGGCTGTGGTGCATATCCTGGACTGTGTGGCTAGCAATAACAGCCTGATTGAAAAGAGCAAAAAAAGGCACAATATCGTGACTAGTTATTGACAAGTCAGCCTGAAACATCGTCATACGTTTCAATCTCCTATGTATGGGTCATTTGTGTACAGCCTGGCTGATTAGGCCATCCACCGGGAGGCCTGATCTGAGACTGGAGTACAAGTGTGTTGAGCTTTGAAACTGTTTCAAGGTTAGCTCCAGGTAATCACCCTGTTGAAATCTCCCACCTCAGACTGATATATGAAACTTATCCTTCATGATGCAATATAACAGAAATTATTTTTGTTCCTACAATGTACCCATCATACAGAAGAGGATAGCAAAAATAAATAGGCTGTGGTTAATGTATAGCTGCCATGTTTATCCTGTTTGTAAAAGCAGAGAATAGGAGGCAGTGTGTGTGACAGGTGTGCCTCACGGGAGTGGGTGGATGTGGAATTAAGAAACAAGTGTTCCTTAATAGAATCTTGTTTGATATTGTTTTAAATATTTACCTTGATATTTTATGCTGGTTTACCTTTCCTTGGTGTCCTGAGTTAATTTTATGTGCTCACATTTAAGACACACTCTTAAGGTAAGCTCAAGACAAATAGACTATACTTATACATGTTATTTATAAATATAGACCACTTAATTAGTTTTAGTCTTAAGTTAAATCTATGCAAAATACTTTGCATAATTATAGGAGTTTTCTGATTGGGAACAAACAACTACTAACTCAGCCTTATAAAACTCCATTCTTCCTTGAAAAAAATATACACTTGGAAAATGCTAGAGGGATTAGTAACAAACTTGCACACTAAAATCACTCCCTATGATATGTTTGTTTCAGAGGTGTGCGCGGGGAGCCGGGTGCTGGGATCACAGGGGCATGGAGGTGAATACTTCAACACCAACACACTGGCTGAAGTTGAACGTCCCTCTCCCCTCGACTACGAGTCCCTGCTTGAACGGATTCATGGTGACTTTGGTGCACGATCGGATATGGAGGACCAGCACGAGCCAGAATATGAGGGGTCAGAAACGCTGGTGGTGCCGCTCTACATCCCCGAAGGTGCTGTACCCATCAATCTAGCACGTATCGCCCGCTCTGGCAGCCCACAGGGTGTTGTTGAACTAGTAAATATGAAAGTATCACCTTCTGCTGACTCTGTCCTCATCCGGCGGATAGGTCCTGTTGGTGGCCGACCTTCCCTTCCGAGGCGCAGTGGCTGGCGACCCCCACAGAGGACAAGGCTTACTAGATTACCACTCATCCGCAGATCAGATCAAATGGATGAAACCTCTGTGGCCAGGCCCCCACCACCGCCATTTCTGTTGGCCGAGTTTGGGCAGCGGCTGCCGGCGGCCAACACTGCTCCTCTAGTGGCAGTTCGGCGAGTCTCTCTCTCCCATGCACTGCCTGATGAACTGGACGATATGAGCAGCACACGTGCTAAGAAGAATGAATTTAGCAAAGATTCTCAGTTTCTAGAAGAGTTTCACACTACAAGTGTTCCAGAAAATGAGGCACTGGACACATCTTCAGAAGCAAACGTTTCGACACCAACCACCAAAACAGTCCCCACAACAACCCAAAGTGATGATAAAGGCCCATTAGCCAGCAAGTTAATGAAATCTCCACTATCATCCACAACAACTACTACAGCAGCTTCCATTGCTACAACTCATACCACAACAGTAACTTCTAAAATGGAATCAGCCACAACAGTTACCATTGTAGGGCCATCACCCACTTCAACAACATCTCCCAGTACTACAACACCTACCACAACAGCACCCACTAGTGCAACACCTACCACAACACCACCCACTACTGCAACACCTACCACAGCACCCACTACTGCAACACCTACAACAACAGCACCCACTCTTGCAACACCTACCACAACAGCACCCACTACTGCAACACCTACCACAACAGCACCCACTACTGCAACACCTACCACAACAGCACCCACTACTGCAACATCTACCACAACAGCACCCACTACTGCAACAGTACCCACTACTGCAACAGCACCTACTACTACAACACTTACCACAACAGCACCCACTACTACAACACATACCATAATGGAAACTATGACAACAAACAATCCTACTACTCGTGAGGAGGAAGATATACCCTCGACCATGACCAACACACCTCCCACGACCAAATGGGACCGTCGCTCTGTTCTTTTCCCACGACCTGTGGAATCCATTCTTAAATTGACCAAAATTAAAACCCTAGTCACAACACCAACAACTACTACGACACCTGCCTCTACAACCACTGCAGTAGTAGCCAGAAGTCCTGTTCCATTAAGGAGTCTTCCTTTGTGGGTTAGCAGGTCAAAGTTATCACCTATTACAAGTACTCCAACTTCTGCACAGTCTCTTGCAACTTAAATACATCAACAACAGTGAGTTCCCCAGTAATAGAAAAGGTTACACTATTTACTAGATTACCCAGTACAACCAAAAGACCCTTTATACCAACCACAGAAGTAATAGAACTCTTATCATCTACAAAGGCAGCGATCATAAAGGAAGCTTCACACACTATACCAGTGACAAGGCGGCCGCTTCGAGTTTCAGTGAGACCAGTTCTTCTCACAATTAACCAAACTATAACATCAACAAATACTACAGACACAACAAAGTCACCACATGTTTCCCAAAGACCAGTGGTTGTTGTTGACCCTGAGAGGCCTCTGCCAGTGAGGATGATGCAAAGTGTCAGTGAAATCCTCAGGGATATTGCAGTTCCTAAGCAGATTGATGATACAGTATTTACTGAAAAAAAGGAAGATTCGGTATTGACTGAAAAAAAGGAAGAATCATCTGCAGAAAATCCCTCATTGAGTTTTTTTACAACAAAGTCTCCAAGGACTGAAGAAAGAGACAATAAATTGACATCAGAATCCAGTATTGTGTTGAAAGTGAACAGTGACTTTCAAAATGCAACAGAGAAAGGACAAACAAATCAGTCACCTACTAGGCTTATGGAAGTTGATAAAGACCAGGACAGCGAAGAGACAACTACAAAAGAGATTGAGCACAAACCTACTATTACAGGTTTACGAAAACACACGAGAATTCCTCGGCCAACCACTAGGTCTGGACACAGAAGACGAAGACCATTGCGGCAAAGAGTAACAATTCCTCCACCCATAACCCATGCTAAAGATTTCTTTATAGCACCCGAGGAAACTCTCGTCTTCATCTCAGCAACAGAAGAGCAAAAGATTACGATAACAACAACTTCGACGACTTTCCCACCAATCATTGTCTCAACAACATTACCACCACCAATTCTGACAACAGAAAAGTCTCCAGAACAAATAGTGATTGAAAGCCTGACAGAGATAATGAAGGATGCCACAAATAACAACAAGAGCAAAGATAAAGTCTCAAGCATTGCTACCAACCTAGAAGCACTCAACAAACAGCTGGCTGAGAGAGGTATCCACATCATTCATGCAGAGGTTGATGGAGTAAAGATTAAGCTTGATAATCGGACAATAACTCGCCCCATACTGCAGCCACTTGCCACCACATTCCGTCCATCAACATTCTATAATATGTCATCTGTTACAGACTTCACTGAGAGGACCTCATCTAGTACTGTATCAACTGAGAGAGAGAAAGAAATACACGTGACTGCTGATTCAGTGACTGACGAAAAACCTGAAAAACAGATACACACATCAGTTAAGTCTTCTTTTTCATTTCACACAACAAAGGCAACAGAGATTGAGGAGACAGACAATGACAATGAGGTGCAAAGCACCACCAACGACTCCAGCTTCACTACCACTAAGCCTGTGGACACCAGAAAGTTCTCTGACAAGCCAGGGTGGAGTGAGGCTCAAAAACCAGCACTTTCTTCTTCACTTCTTCCTTATGCAGAGGAAACAGAAGATCCAGCTAGAAATAAGACACAAATAGATGGCTTCTCCAAAACTCCAGCTGTTGATGAATCTTCTGTTCAAACAAGTAGTCCACGAGGAGACCGTGATAAAGAGCTTAGTGATGGAGTAACATTGAAGTCAATCTTTGCCACCTCAACCGTTCCCTCAAGTGTCACCACACGCACCAGATCCACCACTGTCCCCATCACCACCCACAGACCTGCCACCACACCCTTCCTCTTCAGTCCTAGAGGCAGAACAAGACCTGAGCACATCAACAGGGAGGAGAGTGTAGCTCATGTCACATCCGAGATTGAGAATGAGGATCTGTCAGTGGAAGCCACTAATACAAATTCTACAAACAAAAGCAGTTCTCTAGCACCCCAAGAGCCTCATATTTTTACTAGTATTCACCCAACTTCACATCAGCGCCCAGCGTTTTTGCCACCACATAAGAAAGAAACAGTCAGAATTTTTGGCAGTGGCGCTAGTATCTCTGGAGTCAGCCAAGACACAGCTTCCACTAAGAGCACACATGTAGACTCTGCCTCCATCGTGAAAACCACTATCACCACCAGGACTACTACTTTACGCCCCATCATTGAAGTCATAGCCTTTGCTCCCGGGTCAGCTGTGGCTTCAGAAAATACAGAGGGTGAGGGTTTCTCAGAATCTTCTTCGCCCTCTTCTTATACTGCAGTTTACATCATTGGGGTAATTGGCATAATCCCGGCTGCTGCTCTCACAGCCTTCCTGGCCAAGAAGTTTTTGAAGAAAACACAAAAGGCTTTACCAGAAAGTGAGGAGAGAGGAGAAGGCTTCACACCTATTACTCATCCCTCCAGGAAGACCTCCAACTCCAACACATTTGTGAGTACAGTCACCATGTTGGTTGCACCATACAAGTAACTAAGTGCATGAGGCTTGCTGGCCATATTAGGTGGGTCTAACTCTGACTCGAATATTCCTGCTTGTGCATTTGCCCAGCCTACCCTTAAATGTTTCCTAGAAAATTGCTAAAATTACCACACATGGCAGTTTGTGCTCCTTATTGTGTTATTATATTTAAAAACTAAACTATCCTCATAACTTACTGTGTGGATCATTTTCCCATAAATTAAATCTATAACATCTCTTTGATAAATAGGTTTTTCCTTCCCTTGACGACCTGATCTGTATTCCTAATTCCATTGAAACTCATTCTCTTATAAGGTCAATACACACCAACAGGAGGCTGATGGGTCATCGGTGGAGGCAAAGAATCCTCATCCAAAGTACACACCATGGGAGTTCCCCAGATCAAAGCTTCGTCTCGTCTCCATCCTCGGCGAGGGAAATTTTGGAGTGGTGAGTCCCCTGGCAAAATATTTCTTTAGTTTTCCTTTGTAAAATTGTGTTACCTTATAAACTTGATTTTACTGTCCCTTATTTATTTGAACTAATTTTTAATAATACTCACAGCAAATCAAATAACTGTACTCTCCAAATAAATGTATATCTTTGCTGGGGCCACATATTTTGGGGAAGAGTCTGAAGTTAAGTTGTAAAGGTTGGTGAATATATTTAGGAGGGTATGTAAAATGAGACTAAAAAGTGAACATAGAAAAGAGCAAGGTGAGGAGAGTAACAAAACGTCAGCAATGAAAGAATGGGATATCAGACTGTGGGAAGAGAGTGAATGTAATCAAATATTTGGGAGTGAACCTGTCAGCAGATAGGTCTGTACAAGAAGAGGAGAGAAAAAAAAAGGTGGGTGGCATCTTGAGAATCTGAGGAAGACGCTGAGTATATATATATAGTTTGTATATATATATAAGTGAATATATATATATATTATAATATATATATATAAATATATATATATCTATATGTATATATATATGTAATATATCATTATATATATATATATATATATATATATATATAATATATATATATGTAAATGTAGATATATATATATATATATATATATATAATATATATACATATATATGTATATATAATATATATATATATATGTATATATATATATATATATATATATATATATAATATAGTTGTATATATTATATATATATAATATATATATTATATATATAAATATATATATATATATGTATATATATGAAATATTAATGGTATATATATAAATATATATATATAATATATATATATGTCGTATAATATATATATATATATATATATATATATATAAATATATATATATATATATGTATATATATATATATATAATCATATATTTTAAATATATAAAATATATAAAAATATAAAATATATATATAAAAATATAAATATATATAAATATATATATATAAAATATTATATATATAATATAAAAATATATATATGTAATATAAATATATATATAAATCAATTATATGTATATAAAGGACATACAAACAATACACACACTACACACACACACACACAACACACACACACCCACACACACACCCACACACACACACACTACACACACATACACACACACACACACACACACACACACACACACATACACACACACACACTCACTACACACACACACAACATTACACACACGACATACACATTACACACACGACATAGCACACACACACACACACACACACACTCGACACACACACACACATACACACTACACACACACACACACCACACACACATACACACACACATACACACCCAACCCATACAACACACACACACACACACACACACACACACACACAACACACCAGCACACACACACACAACACACACACACACATACCACTCCCCACTCACTACAACACACACACAACACACATACACACAACACACACACACACACTACCCACACATACAACACACATACTCACACACACACACACACACACACAACACAATACACACACACTACACACACACGACACACACACACACACACATACACACACACATACACACACACACCCACACACACACACACACCACACACACACACCACACACACACACACACACACACCCACCACACACCCTAACAACACACACACACACGACACACACACGACACACACACACACACACACACACACACCCAACACACACACACAACACCCACACACACACCCAACGACACAAACACACACACACCACACACACACACACACCCCCCCCCCCCCCGCCACACACACACACACAACACACACACACACACACACACTGACACAACACACACACACATACACACACACACACACACAAAACAAACAACAAACAACACCCCCTTCTCAACCCCCCCTTCTTATGCCCTACCCCTCCCCCCAATACCCCACCAACCCACCCCCTCCCATACAATCCCTCCGTATCAAGACCCCCAACCTAAAAACACCCTTCAACAAACCACCCCCCCCCTCAAAATACATACACACAAGACCCAGTTTCCGAGGCCCAGAAACTTACCTCCTAACCCAATGTATACGACAAGCTTCGACAACACTGCCGGGAGTGCACTGGGCTATTAACCCCTTCTCCTGTATTATAAACACTTACTAAAAAATAGCAGAAAAAACATTAACTAAAAATCTAAAATAAAATCTAAAAAAAAAAAAAAACACACAACCTAAATAAGGAATAAATCTATATAAAATATATATATATATATGGAGGGATGATAGAAATATATATATCTAAATATAAATTAATAAATCTAAATAAAAAAAAATATAAAAAAATATAAATCTAAAAATATAATTAAAAAAATATATAAAATATAATTCAAACTATATAAATAAATCACATAAAGATATATCAAAACTAAAATATTAAATATATATATAAAAATACGATATATATAAAACTATATATAAATAAAAAAATATCGAATATCTACATAAACATATATAAATAACATTCAAAAATAAATCTAAAAAATAAAAAAATATAATAAAAATATAAACAATATATAATAAATATATAAAAAATAATATAAATAACAAACATACATATATATAAAAACAAAAACCAAACTAACTCCCACACACACACCAACACACACACTCACACACACCACACACACACACACACACACACAAACACACTAACACACACAAACACACCCGAACTCACACCACACACAAACACACACACACACAACACACACACACACACACACACCACACACACACACACACACCCACACACACACACCAATACACACACCACACACACACACAAACACCACACACCCACACACCAAACCAAAAACCTACACACATAAATTATATATAGATATACTTACTACTTATTTACTCCAGCAACAGCCCATGGCTTAACTACCCGTCACAGCCATAGAGTAAACACTGCCTGCCTGTAATTGTTAAACCACATGGTAGGATGCTGGAGTCTATTTTTATTTTTTATTTTATTTCTTTTCCTGTCTCATACACATGCAAGATTTCAGGTAGTCTTGCTACTTCCAACTTCACTTAGTCACACTACACCATACATGTACAAGCAGTATATACACACCCCTTTGGTTTTTTCTTCTATTTTCCTTCTAGTTCTTGTACTTGTGTAATTTCCTCTTACTTCCATGTGGAAATGGAACTAGAATCCTTCCCTCCGTAAGAAGCCATGCATGTTGTAAGAGGTGACTAAAATGCCGGGAGCAAGGGGCGTAGTTTACCCCTCTCCCGTTATAAATTTACTAATTTAAAAAAAAAGAGACACTTTTTTGTTTTTCTTTTTGGGCCACCCCGCCGATGGGATAGGCCAGTGTGTTGATAAAAGAAGAAAGAATATAGTATATATATAGACATATATATATATATATATTATATATATATATATATATATTTAAAATTATTATAATTTTAATTATTTATATATAATATATATATATATATATATATATATATATGTAGGTAGTAGGTTGGCATATAATATTATATATATATATTATATATATATAAATATATATATATATTATATAATAATAATTATATTTATATATATAAATATATATATATATATATATATATATTATATATGTAATATATATATATATATAGTTGTATAATATATATATATGCAAAACAACCACTCTGAAAGAATAGCAAAATTCCAAGCATCTTTCGTGACTACTCCCATTATCCTTGATAATGTTGAGTAGTCACGAAAGCGCTTGGACATCTCTCTATTCTTTCCAGAGTGGTTGTTTTGCATATATATATAATATATATATACACCAACCTACTACATACATATATATATAATATAGATATATATATTATATAATATATATATATATTGTATAGTATAAATATATATATAATATATGCAGAAACAACCACTCTGAAAGAATAGAGAAATTCCAGCGCTTTCGTGACTACTTTACTCACATTAATCAAGGATAATGTGAGTAGTCACTAAAGCGCTTGGAATTTCTCTATTCTTTCAGAGTGGTTGTTTTGCATATATAATATATATATATAATATATAAATATAAATAACCTATACAGTGGACCCCGCATAAGATGGCACGCATAGCGATTTTCTGCATAACGATTACATTTATCGCAAATTTTGCCCCACATACCGATTAAAAACCCCGCATACCGATTTTCGTCCGAGACGCGTCCAATGTGCCCTTAAAACCCTCACATGGTGCCGGCCGTCCCCATTGTTTACCAGGCCACCACCGCGGTAACATCCAAGCATACACTCGGAATAATTTCGTATTATTACAGTGTTTCGGTGTGTTTCTGGAAAATTAAGTGACCAATGGGCCCCAAGAAAGCTTCTATGCCAACCGTGGGAAAAAATGGTGAGAATTAGTCTGGAAATTAAGAAAATTTTTGAGGATAGGGGGCTAACGCCTGAGAAGCCTATGCCAGTTGTGGAATCCATTGTGCCTACATCAAAGATTAAGGAAATGTGTTTCAGAGTGGTTTTGAACTGCAAAAAACCTTAATAGATGAAAATCACCAGACACATGCTGTTGCAAGCGTGCTTGGACTATTTCAATGACAATGTTGGCCCATTTTAGAAAGTCTTGAAGAAACGAGGTACAGAGCTCCTATGGACAGATTTGTTTGTGCGACAGAGGCCAGTGACTCTGAGCTGTGTCCTAGTGGATCATTAAAAAGAAAAGGGAAGTAACCCTCATAAAAGGACTTGCTACCTCAAGTCCTAATGGAAGGGAATTCCCCCTTCTAATCATAAGAAGATAATGCCTCCACCTCCATCCCATCCCATCAATCATCAACAATCTTCATAAAAAGTAAGTGTCATGTACTATGTGCATGCCTTTTTCAGTGTGTGTATTAAAATTAACATTCC